TGTTTTAATCACTGGTGTGAGATCAGAAATGACTGGATCCAATGTGAGCATCAGCCCTGAATTTTAAATTAAATAGCACCATCTAGAGGTAAAACTGTTCACATCCTTAAATTAGTGAGAGCTATGTACTTTTACTTTACTTGGAAAACAGCCTTAGAGCTCTTGTTTCTCCCTTGTTGTCCTTCACCAGCAGCCCACAGCTTAACTTGAAAAAGAAGGCAGCATGAGCCATGCAAATAAAACAGATCTGAAAGTTTTCCACATTTGCTAACAATGGTTTGTTACATGGACACAATTGTTGCAGCATAAATCTTTTTCTAAAGAAACCCTGCGTTGTTGCACAGGAGTGGGTAGGTTGTGCTGTCTTTCTCCATAGCTCACACTGGAGCTGAACAACCCAAGGATGGTCAATGGGTTGATACGCAAGACAAGCGAAACAGTATGTCTGAATCTGGGGAGAAGTGATAACACATGAGTTCTAGATAACCTATGATATACAGTCTCTGAGCATAACTATTTTGTGCTGTCTCTCAGTTAACATGTTGAAAGGGTTGATACTAGGTATTTATATGAAGAAGGGAAGTTCTCATATAGAGTGCACTCTTGTTGAATTGCTATATCAAAGCAGAGATAGCCACACTATAGAGACTGGGCTGGGTTAGGGAATCCTCTGCTTTCCTGGAAAGCAGGGATCTGTTGCCAGAAATTGCTTGCTTCATAGTCATTTATTTTTTGCCTTTAGGATGTTAGTAATAGCAGCTCTGGGGGTTGCATCAGGAAAATGGTGCAGGACAAAGGATTATAAGACACCCCTTCCTCCAGTTCTGTTTCCCCCATTGAAGCAGCAGCCCCACTGCCATTTTTAATTTTCAGAAAAGTAGAAATACCTCATGTCTACCACACATTACTCACATCATGCCTGTTTTGGCACAGTTAGAACTAAGAATCACTTTCAAGAAACCAAGCAAGAAACTTTAAGCTGTTGATATGCCACAAATGGCTAACATAGGAACATGGAGCCTGCCACATACAGCACAAAATATGCCTAATAGCCCTGTGGGGTTCTTTTGGACTCCAAACATTTGGAGCATAAAAGAAAAAAACTGCAGATCATTTTAGTCTGTCTTGATTGGCAGGAAGAGGAGCAAACCCCCACTATAAAAGAAAAAGGAGGAGGGGAAATTATTATTATTGCTACACTTTTATACTGCCCCATAGCCTTGTGGGCTTTTGGGGCAATTTACAGATTTAAAATATAAAAAGTAGCAACAAAATAAAAATTAAAACTAAATAAAAACACCATGTCTGGCAGTGGGAGAGTGACCGCGGTAGCAGCAGCAGCGGCAATGGCGAGCCAACAAAAGCTTTGCAAGCCAGCCAATGTGCCAAGCTGCTCAAAACGTTCCATGTTGCAGTGATAAGATGATTACATGTATGTTGTTTGATTAAAATAAACACTTTGTTCTTATTCAAACCACTAGAAATCAAGTTAAATCTCTTGATTTAACTTCAGCAATTACACATCAAAAAGTTCTATTTTGCCTATGTATATTCATCTTCCAGTCTGAGGTTAATATTATATGTATCAGATGAAGTAGAAGATTAAGGCACAATATATCTATTGTTTTTGCTGCAACAGAATAACACTGCTCTTGATACTTTATTACAGATCTGTAAGGTAAGCCAACAACATCGGCTGCAAGCACAGATCTGCTTTTTTCAGCAGCTTTCCCGAGGCAAAACAAAGAGACAGGAGAAGTGAGAACAATAAGATACTTAATGACACACTAAGGACATGAAACACCACCAGCTGTTGGTTAAAGGTACTGCATTTATAGTCAGTACAAGATAGAATTTGCATAATGATGCTGAATTTTAAAACAACTTATAGAGATGGCTTAAAAAAGTGGCAACCCATAGCACAGTTATTGATGTAGCTCATTAGCACTACAACTCTATGCATTTTTATTCTGACTTAAGTCCCACTGTGAAGCTTCCCCCTAGGAAGCATGTTTAGGTTGTGGCCTCCTGGTTGATAGCTGGCTCAAGCAGAAAGGAATTCAAATGGAATAGCTCTCACACTTAACCATAACACTTCAGACTATGCAGGTTACTTGAAAAAGAATGCCTCCAGCATGGTTACAAAATTCTGGAAAAGTTTCATCTCTACCTGGAACTCTGAATTAACTATCATAATAAATAAATGTCCTTTCAGAATAACCCACAGTGGCAGATTTTTATTTATTTATTTATTTATTTTTTGCTTTGCTTTTTTAAGTAACATGTTTTTAACATGGCAAAATTAGCCATTTGCAACATTATTCTATACCTCATCTACTCAGAAACAAGTGCTGGTAAATTCCATGGGATTTACTCCTCCAGATGAATAAGTATGAGATTGCAACCTTAATTCTTTCGATCTTCCTTCGCTTTGATTTTTTGTTGTCACACAAACAAACACACATGAGAAGTGCATAATAGCCTGCACTTAACTATACAATAGCATGAATAGACTTCTTTGAAGGGCAGTAATATTGCAGTTGCAGAGGAACTGACCTTTTGAAAAAAGCATCAGGCCAAGGATGGAATGAGTTTGTCTTACAAATACACACTTCCTTCCAGGGCTGTGGGAGGCAGTTATTTTGGTTCTTAAAGCCTCCAAATCATTTGAACATGCAGTCCCCAATCCTGGTCCTCTCACTGACTGATTTCAAAGGCCATTACCCTTGAAAAATGTTAAAAATGGAAGATTAAATCAAGTGGGAGGAAATTCCTTCCTATGTAAACATTCAGTCTCTTTAACGTTTTAACATGCTGCAAAGCTAGCATCTTATGACAGGATGATGGCTGTTAAGGAAAACAGGCAAAAAACAAAAAAAGTTGAAATCTTATTGTCAAGACAAGAATAATTTATTAGACTGTCACAAGGATATAATTACTGATTCGTCTCATTAGACATTGCTTTCTTTATGCACAGTCTCCATGCTTTCCAAGTATGTTCTTTTGCTTGCAGCCACACAACACCAGTATGATTCGTTGATGTTTCACTCTGCCACTAAAATATGTTTTTGGCCCAGTGTTAACCTCCCTTCAAGACGACTGCACCTAGAACAATCATCAGCCCGGTGCTTCTTAATTTCTGCATACCAATCAGAAGTCAGCAAAGACAATTTTTATAGGCAGTTCAAAATACATGCTCTCTCAGAATTCAGGACAGGAGTAATGGTCATATTTCTGCTGAATCCCTTTTATTGCTTACACTGTAGAAACATCTGCGAGACATGTCTCTGAAAATCCAGCCAATTCCCCAAATGGAATGTTATCAATTTATATAGAAGGAGCCATGTCTGCTCAGGAAAAAAAACACATTATGTCTACACACAAATAAACTGAACAAGCTTCTGAATGTCTGCTCAGCAATAAGCAGGCTAGGACTCAGTCAGAAGCAATGAACAGAGGAATCCTAGCTGTTATCTCCAGTCACAGACTAGGACTTGGCCCAGGCTGAATAGACCTGCTGCTCTCAGTACCAGTCAAGACCATTTAAGCACAACCATGGGGCTCACATGTGATGCTAGAGACTTGCAAACACTGCTGCTTCCCCACTGAGAAGGATAAAGCTTGAGCAAAGAGACCCAGTGAAGGCTGGAGTGTCCTTCAAACTTTGGCCTCAGCTGGGGTGACTCACCTGCTTCTCATCCGGCTTCTCCCTCAACTGGGCAACTTTGTTGTGTACCAGCCCTTCCAAGTCAGGGAAAGCCTTTGCACAGTGAAGTCTATGCCTGGTGGAGCTGCAGCTAGTGTTTCAGATGGGGATCAGATAACGTCGGGTGCTTAACATCACCCAGTGCTTGAATGACTGAATGAGGACATTTTGTCCTTTTCACTGTTTGACTTTGATAGTAATCTCTTTTTCAAAAAAAAAAAAAAAAAGGTGATACCCACTCTATGTTATTTGCTTTACAGATGGTAATGACTATCCCTACACTTGAAACATATGCAGTCATTTTTCCACTGGTTTTCGGAATTAGAGGCAATGAGAATGATTATCTAGGAAGTTCTTCTGTTCCATTGAAATAACTGGGAGCAATACAAAACCACCACCCTTTCCAGAATTTTCACTGGTCACTATCAATTTTAAACTGAAAAACATAATGAAGCCTGAACAGTATCCATCAATATTCCATTTCTAAGAAACTGAGATACAAGACTTCATCAGTTATAATTTTTTCATCTAGAAGCATTCTTTTAGGGTAGGTTAGCATAAGTATAAAAATGTAAAAGTGAGTTAACTATAGAACTGGATATGGTTAAATAAACTTCTTGGGGAGTGCAACTAAAAGGAATAATATGAGTTTGAAAAGTTACAACCCATTAATTCAGTATTGTAAAGACACACTGAATACTGAATAAGGTAGAGGTATACTTATGATATTATAATTTGCATATAGTTTCAAACATATTTTAAGAAACTAAAGTTATTTTTCTATAAAGATATCCAAAATTGGAGAAAATGCTCTGATTGAACCATCTGACAAATGCCATCACAGAATTTTCTGGTTTGTTTTCTTCATTAAAATGCATACAATTATGCCCCCAAACAGCTTAGGCTAGAGACATGAGCTGACCTATCCAGCTACCACAATACAGTGACATCATCTTTTCTCTTTAAGTGCTGGATCCCCAGAGTATATAATTTGTGGCTTTTAAGTATCTGGTCATTTTGGCAGAACACAAGCTGAATTGCTGCAATTTCTATCAGTTTTACCACCCTGTACAGATGGCCTCATTACACTGTCCAGATTTTCTGCCTGCACAATGCAAGACCAATTAACTTTAGAGATTGACATAGTAAACACCATTTCAGCCACATACAAGGTTCCATACCCCAGTCTGAAAATGCAGGCCACAACACACACAATTCACAGGCTAACTTCAGACAGTTAGAAGCAACTGTAAACAACCTGTGCTGTTAAACATTTACTGAAGAAAAGCATTACCAGTCGTTCCATCTCCTGCTCTTTCAGCCTTTCTTCTCTCTGCCTCCTGTGATAGTCCATCAGGTCATCCCTTCCAGAAATGGAGCTAATACTATTCTTTCTCTCTCGAACAAAAGGAGCCTGCTTCAAGCTTTCCAGCTCTGCTTCATCCAACTCCATGGAACTGCTGGAAATTTTCCTTCTGACAGGGAATGCTCTCTCAGAAGAATCTGTAGGAATGAAAGAATTACTGGGGCTGGCTCCTGAGAGTCCAACTCTATCAAAGTCATCAGAGGCATAGGAGGAAGAAGAAGCCAGAAGCATCTTCCGAGCTATGCGAGGACTTGCAGGAACACTGAGAGTCGAGTTCACATAGGAATTGGTTTCAGGTGCAAAGTTTGCATATGGTGAAACCCCTGAGGTATAAGAAGAAAAATTAAGATAATTATCAGCATCCAGCATACTTTGAGGTAGAAGATCCTTTTCTATCACTTTTTTCCTTTTGGAATTCCCAAGGGAGCTTCTTGGGGGTAAGCTTAGTGGCATGAGCTGACTTTCTGTTGATTTGTAAAGCCTGGGTAATGAACGGCTATAAACTCCCATATGGCTTAGTGAACCACCAGAATACTTTCTGGTTCTAGACCCTAGAGCTTCCATTGCTGGGTCCTTCTGTTTAGGTGGTCTGGACTGAAGTGACAGGATATCCTGAATATTCATCCTCCTGCCCTGCTTTGGACTGGAGGGCATACTGGCAGCTCCAGAACCACCAACTGGTGAAAGAGTGGTCTCATTCCCTGAGCTTCCATTCCACATTGCAAGAAGAGATCCAGAATTTTTCCGCCCATCCATGATTCCTGGGAAGTAGACATTATCATGCGATTTATTTTTATGACTGTACTTTGAATAGGGAAATTTATCCAGATGTCCAAACTGTTTTTCATTTTCTCTGGTAGCATAAATATCAAAGTCTCTCTTCCCAAGGCTGTACCCACTTAAGGATGGAGATGTGCTTGAAATGGAGCCCATATGCTTTGCAGAGACATTCTTGTCTGAAAGATAAGAGCTGTCACAAGCCAATGCTTTGCTTGCTTGAATTTTGGTAACAGATGACACACTTTTTACACTGGAAGCAGGGCTGGACTTGGGTGCCAAAGGCTGTGAGAGAGTTAAATAAGAACCAGAATAGTCACCATTTGTTTTTAATTTCAGACTTGACGAATATTTTTTCTGGTTGAGCCTGTCCATTATGTCCTGCAGATCATTTTCAAGAGAATTCATCATGACCTCTTTTCCTAAACTAGTATTTTGTAATTCCACCTGGGTTTGCATGAACTCTTCCATCATCTTACTGGAATCTGCAAAGAAGGATTGAAAGAAAAGTGAGAGAAGAAACTAAATTGTTTTAGCAATTTCCTTATTTTTTTACCTGCAGTGTTGCAATTCTTAAGGTTATAACTTGAAATCCATAATGACTTTCTAGCAACACTGATTGCATACCAATAGTAATGATTAGTTTCAGCAAACATGTTTAAAGCACTTCTTAAAAATGATTAAGCTTCCAAGTAGGCATGTCATAAAACAGGATTAAAGGCAGTCAGATAGATCTACAGAAGATCAAATGAGCAAGGTAGAAGAGCTGCACAATGCCTACTCATTAGTAACACCAGGAGCACTCTGTATGGAAACACTTTTAGTAAGGCAACAAGTTAACTTTGGACAAAGCCTACTTTAAAACTATGCTTAAAGCCATTCTTCATAGTCCTTGGTTAAAGGACTTTTAACTAAAACACTATCATGAACATTTGGTTTCATTCCACCTGCCAAAAAGCAAAATCCAGCAATGAAGCCTCATACTAAAGGGATACCATTCCTAGTAAATGAAACAGCAAGAATATAGTTCAGTCCTGTTTTTATCAGAGATTAGTTGCTTCAAGAAAATTACAAAATTCATAAAGTATGAGATAATTTACAAAATTCAGGTCAATTCAAGAGGACACATTAGACCAAAACTAAGATCCTAAACTAATTTGGTATCTCACTGAAATCAGTGAGACTTATTAGAAAAGATGCAGTGAGGATGGCTTAAAATTGAAGAAGTGTGAAGCCCAATGGTAGAAGAAGGACTAATGGCTGGGCTTTTTTTTTCTTTTTATCTCTTGATTAGTCCTTGGTGGGCAGATGACCAGCAAGACTTTGATGATTTAGTCCTTGGGCTTATCAGAAGAAATTGGGTAGATCCATCCCAAGCACAAATAGTTATGTTCTGTTGCCCCGGCCAAATGGCATTTAACTGGCTGCCTAGGGAGATGCAGGTGAAGTCCACAACTGCTTGCAGATAGGATAAAATCAGTGTTGGAGTCTTTCTCTCCCTTTGAACACAGCAACTGACAGAAGCTAATCAACTGTTCCTTGGACCTCTATTCTGGTGAAACCCATTGCCTAAGTAATGTAGAGTAGGAGTATATTTTCCTTCCAAGCTGATGTACTAAGCAGTCTGCATAATCTTGGGAACCTGGGTTACATACTCCCCCCCCCCCTCCCCGCCTTTTGGTGCCCTTTCTGTTGCACATCTTATTTCTCCCCCTTTTAAATAAACTTAGTTTTACCTATTGGTGTGGGAGTTTTTGCAGGGCATCAGTGCCAAGTGATATGCTCAAACGGGTGGCTGGATCCTTAAGCGGGTTGCTTTGGACTAAGATGGCTAAAGATGTTTTGTCTGTTTCCCTATTCCCCTTTCCCTATCCACCCCAATCAAGAGGCTCTTTCCCTCCACCTACCGATGGTCAAGAAACCTGCCCATAGAACAAAGTGGCTGTGTAATCTGATCTAGTTACCCTTCACAAGACACTTCAGTACTAACCTGGACTTGTATACTTCAAATCATGTTCCATTAAGGTCAATGGAGACTACTCTCAGGTAAGTTGGTATATGACTATAGCTTTAGGGCAGCCATCCACAGCCCACATCAGGTATGATGGATTGTAACTCTGAATGAACTGATTATAACTCTGACTTTTTTCCCTTGTTAAAGAATTGTTCCTCCTCCCCATGGGAGGGTGGAATTTCAGGATGAAAACAAAAGAGGAAAAGGCATAAATCCCTTTTCACAATGCCATGGTCCCAATCCCTCCCTGGGCCACACATGCTTATATTAAAATAATTCATGCATGATTAAATGAACATGCACTTTGGCCCACAGAGAAAAGGAGCTAGGTTTGCATGTATTTTAACAAAATGTACTATTTCCATCAATGCTCAGTACATCACATCTTAGATTTTATCAATGGTGATGCAAAAGACTATTAATATGCAACAGAGAAAAGAAGTAGCACATGGAAACTATTATGCCTTGGCAAAAATATTCCATTACTCCACCGAAAATGCACAAGAACAATCTGATTGAATGGTTAATGTGACTATCTGTAGCATTACCCTTGACAATACATCCTTCCATGAATTGCTATAACTTATAAAAATACAGCAGGATAGATTTCCCCATCTGGACATTAAAGATCATAGCAATCTTTAATAAGATGCCAATATCCAAGAAAGTCTCTGGCTTTTCTTGATCAACTGCAGACTTAATTTTGAGCAAGCATGCTAGCTTACTATAGCAAACCTAGCAAGACTTGGGAAAATGTTTTCAAATGAAAATGTTTTTACCAGGTGGATGGTGAAACATGCTCAGAAACACTCTTTATTGTTTCTTCATTTGTTTATTCAGAACTTATTTATGGGACTAAGATCTGGTTCTTATTAAGTCTATGGAACATTTGGGTACACCAGAAGCTGCCTTGCACCAATGCCACAAATTTGAAAGAATAGAAATCACATGTAGTCATAAATTGATTAAAACTTTTATTGGGTGCCACTTACACAGCATATTGCAAAGAACCAGCCATCAGGCAGGCTGAACACACCAGCCTGAATCCACAATAACACTGGGAAAGCTAAGTGTTTTACACCTACAAGAGTATGGACCAAGAACATGGGCTGCTTCTGCAACCTAGGTTACCTTAGAGTTCTGCTCTAAGGTCCTTTTTATGGATAAGCCCATTTGAGATGGAATGCAGTATATCTATTTATTTACTCTCCCTCTATTGCATCCTATGCCAAGCTTCCTGCGCCAGTGAAGATAGGTTGCGACAGAGAAACAGCAGCAGTTAAAACAATAAAACCCACAGCCATTGTTAGAAGGAAAGCAAAAACTTCATGCCACACTGCTTGCACCAGCAGGTTTTTTAAAAAAATCAATCCATCCTAATCCCATCAGCTGACAGGGAACAGCTGTCATTAGCAAGAGATGTGAAGGCCTGGAAAAAATGGGAGAAAACCCTCTGAATCAACAGCCTCAGCTGCTCCCCCCAGTGTGGGCTGATTCTCTCTCCACTCTGTGCTCTCCAGCAAGGATTTCCCTGTGATCTCTGATGACAAGCAGGCTAAGAGCAGGTGGGGCATCTCTGCATACTGGATTGGTGACTATAGGTTGACATTTGCTCATTTGTGCCTTGAAGGTTCACAAATTAATAGTAATTGGATTTTATTCTTTGTATTTTATTAATTACAGCCAGCGCGGAATAGTAAATTATCTATTTTATTCTGATTTTATGTTGCAAGCTGTCCAGAGACACAAGTAATGAACAGCATACAAATTTTATAGAATGAATGAATGAAATGGCCTTCATTTCCTTTCTTGATAGGTAAGAGAATCTTCTCCAGCTAAGAAAGTTCTCAGTATCTTTTCCTTCAGGCCATAAATCCCCAAACCCATCCAATGAGTTCCTCCGAAACAGGATCACATGCTGCATCCTCTCTGCCTTCAGCACTGCCTGCTTCTTCTAGGTTCTATGATTAAGATGTTTCAGAGGCTACATGCTGAATTTCTCAAAATATATTATGGATAATTCACAAGTTATACTGTTTTATAAAATGAAACGCTCAAATAGAGTTCATGCTAATTCCTGTTAAGTTTACTTTTTAAATTTTAAAGAGATTGATGAGCAAATTATTTACTTTTATACAGCCCCGCAACTGAAGCTCTCTGAGCTGTTTACACAGTCCATACTTATTCATTTGTTCATACAGCATGTTAAGTCACTATGGGTTAATTAAGACATGGGCCTCTGATGTGTACCAGCTGCTATTTGCATGTGCAAACTGGTGTGGGGAGCACCGTGGCTCATCAGATTGTGCATACTCAGACATCATTTAAACAACCCTTGGATAAATCCAGAATGGGTGTTTTAGCAGGATACCTGAAGGAACATCTCCTTCCTTACATGCCTTCATGTCCCTTAAGATCTGCAGGAGAGGCCCTGCTCCAGGAATCCTCCTTGAAGGAGGTAAAAAGGACATCTACTTGGAGTAGGGCCTTCTCTGCAGTGGTACCCAGATTATGGAATACACTCCCCAGACAGGTTCGCCTGGTGCTGAGTTTATATTCTTTTCAGTGCCAGGTTAAAACATTTTTATTTAAAGGGTATTTTAAAAAAATGTATTTTTAATAGTTTTTAACAGTTGCTTTTGATTTCTTTGATTTTATTGATTATTTATTGTATTATGTATTGTTTATTGATTGCTTTTATTTAGATTTGTATTATCTTATTGTTATTTATATTGATATTTTTGTAAGCCATCCTGAGGCTGTGGCAAAGGATGGCATATAAATGTAATAATAATCAGCAGCAGCCTTTGCGTTTGCACAACATAAGCTGCAGCATGCCCAAATATCCAAAATGGAGGCCAGCACTCCACAGGTTAATTAATCCACACTGGCTTTTCATGTATGCAAACTGCCCCTTTATGTTCCTAAGGAAACAGAGTTTGGCTCTTTAAAGAGTGATTTTAAAACACAAGGAAAGGAGAAAGAAAAATGTATTGCATAGTCCTCTTTTTTTCCTGAAGAAAAAAAACCAAGGGGCAATCCCTTCCACCCACAGCTGTGTTATTTCCAAAACTGTTACATTTCTATAATAATTAAACTCTGAAATCAGAGAGGGTGGGTGCTGAAATTAGAAGCAGGTACCTATTGGTGCCTTCAATTTAAGCCCTGGGAGAGACCAGAGGGGGTCTCGCCCATCCAGCTCTTTCCTTTTCCTGAGAGCAAACCAACAAGGCCAACTAGCTCCCAGAGTCTTCTCAATCCAAAACAGAGACACACAAATCCCTAGCAGCACCTTGAGAAGCAATGCTAACTTCAACCTCCACCTCAGTGCCACCAAAGTCTAACCACTGATCCATTTAGCTCTGGACTGTCCACAGTAATCTGGTCTACCTTGAGATGCCAGGGATCAAACCAGAAACCTTTTGCATGTAAATCATGTGCCCTGACAGCTAACTTCCTAAACACTTAAAA